CCGTGTCCCACTGCAGTGTCAGGGCCCTGAAGTCCAGGAATCCGTGTTCCACTGCAGTGGGCAGGGCCCAGGTCTGTTGTTTCTTTGGCTTTTGTCATGGGAGAGCTCAAACACAAGTAGGAGCAGACTGTGTAAGGCTCCTCATGACTGAAGTGTGTGCTCACTAACAGGCTTCCACAGCTGATAGGAAATAATTTTTTTCTGGAGCCAAATATGAATGACTATGGTTCCAGAACACAGATTTAGTTTACCCCAAATTTTATGTTCCAGCATAAGAGCTTTGTGACATTTTTGTAGCAAGAGAACAAAGAAGTCATAAATCAAGACATTTTCTAATACATTGTAGGAACGAGCGTCAGGTAGGCAGGTTAGAGCGAAGCCTGCTAAAGCCTCACATAGGGATACAATGATGGCATTTCTAACTTTGAAAAGATGGGTCTATTAGAGTGTTAGGTCATGTATAGAGAAGGGCAATGAAAGGCTCTGCAAGGTGCCCAAGATAGTCTCAAGAATCAGCAACACTGTAACATCTGAGTATTGTTGAAGTCCTCTTGGTCAATCCAATCTGTAGAATGTTCCAGGTAGGTGACAAGTTCTCTTTCTGGAAACTTCCGGTCATAGAAATGACCCAGAAACTTAGTATCTGTATCCTCAGTATCTTTTCCTCAGTAACTAACCCTTGTCTCCATCAAAAGAACTCACGTGAGACCCATAGGGTACTGAAGAGGAAAAGTTTACTACAAAGGGAACCTCTTAAGAAAGGATAGCAGCTTGTGGCCCAGGGGCCATTGTGCTAACCTCCATATTTGGGTAGGTTTTCCTGAGGAGTGTTTTCCTATCTGAGTGACTGACAGGCTTACTTCAGTGGTGGGGACAGTGGTGGTCTTTGGTCTTCACTGGAAGGAGCTGCTCTTCAACAGTAACTGTACTATGCGACAGTTCGGATTGTCACATCTCCACTCTGGCTCACATCTGACTCGGATCCCATTCTTCTGGCCAGCAGTCAGAGTTCTGAAGTGTGACGTCCCAGTTTTACGAGCTGGAATTCTGAGGACGAGGCCCATGCTAATGAGCGTCAAGCTCCTATCTGCCTAGCAGAGGAGGTGAACCTGGGACCAGCTCCAGAGGCCACAGTCTCTATTAGAGTTTGAACAGGCCTCACGGGGTGAGAGACTGTGCAGCATCTTAGATATCATTAGTAGATGACTTTGGTGTCCTCTACAGGGCACCTCATGAGCCATCATTCAGGTGAAGAAGAGCCTTGCCAGGAGACATCAAGAGAGATGTCTGTCCTGTGGGCTCCTTGGGGTTCTTTGACATACGAGATTTTGAGTTATCTAAGAGCATGAGTTTGGGGCAGTAAAGGTATTTGTGGATCAAACCTATCCCTTGGCTTTCCAGCTGAGCAGAATCAGCAACACTGTTGAACTCTAGGGCTCCACATCTGTTGATTTTTCCATTCGGACGGTAAGAGGATAAATTGAAATACAAAACCAACATAGCATCCTATCCAGTACAGGCGTTAAGAAAATGCCTACTTCTGCCCTGATCCATGTGTTCAGAACCTCACAGAACACACATGCGGTCCTGTTCCCCAGGCTTGCCTAGCAGCTTAGATCCCAGAATACATGTGATGAGCCCATGACATCACATGTATGTCTTGCTTGCCTTGATGTTTTCCTCTTGTTCTGTGGAAGGAGGTGGATTTGACCTACAGAGTCAATGCCTAGGCAGGCTTGGTGAAGGTGCACTTAGAGTAGACTTTGGAGGTTAATAACAATCTTGCTGTAAGCTGCCCTCAGGGAGGCATGAGATGCCAGTTTACTGTGGATCTGTTGGGTGGAAACTTACCAACTCTCAGGGTAAATTGTGTTCTCTCGTGTGGGTGCGCTTGGTAATGAGCTGAGGCCCTGGCTTCTGAGTTCTCCCCAGGTACTCAGCGGCTTCGTGCCGAAGCAGAATGATTTATTAGGCATGTCAGAGCCGTGCTGCTGTTTCTGCAGTGGGGTATGGGACTCTTGGGGCTTAGTCCGCATTGCTGAGCCTGCTCCAGCATAGAAGTCAGGTTGGAAACAGGAAGAGGAGCCACAGCAGTGGGTGGAGATGGTGCCATTTGGTGCTTGTTTTAAATCAGTGCTACTCTGTGTATTTGCTTGCCCATTCTTTGGCTAAGCAGAAGCTCAGTGACCCATCAGTGCAGCTGCTGGAGAAGAAGACCAGTCTTCTCTCAGGGTGACGTCGGCCACCCATCTCTGTGGGTATGTCTGACCATTGCTTCTCTTATAACCTCTGATACCCTAGAGATCCTGAATGCAGCATCAACATCGTCACTGCATGAGTTAAAAGGTCACGCAGAACTCAGGGAACCAGCAGTCTGCATGGTCTCTCCGTCTGCTCTGTGCTGTGTGGCTGCTCTGGTTACTTAGGAGCCTGCACCGGGGAGAGCAAGGTTCAGTTTGATGAGTTCTGAGTTTGCCACCTCTAATTCCTCCCTGGCTAGTTCAAAGAGTGATAGGCATGCATCCCTCCGTGCTTCCTGCTGACAGCCAGGCTTGACTGAGAATTGGTGATGTTGACATTTGCCTTGAGTTGTTGGCAGCATTAAACAGATGGCCCTTTCCCCACCCACCCCGCAGAGGATCTTATACCATCATTTACTTGCTAGAGGAGAGAAAGGAGGAAGTGGCTTGGTTATGTCCACCACCGTGTGTGTTGGCATCCACTGTAACTGCTCTCTGACGCTGACCCATGTGGTGTGTCTCCTGATTTCACCAGAAATGTGGTTTCTCTCTGTAGGAGCCCTACTGATTGAGTTCTCGATGGTATTTGCCTGACTGCTGTGCAGACATCAGGCGTGAGATACAGTGTCTTCAGCTTAAGGAGCTATGTGAGAGCTGCCTTCCAAGTCCTCCCTGAATGTCTGCAGTAAGAACGGAGATGTTCAGGGCGTGGAGGTGATTGTCCCTTTCTCACATTTCTGATATTAGGAAGAACAGGTGGGCTTGTCTGGCTTCCCACGCCTGCCCTGCTGGGCCCTGTTTTCTTCTGATGAGTCTTTTGGATAGTATCTTGCCTTCCCCAGCAAACTTCTTCGATGTTAGTATATGTCAGGTGCTGCCCTGGGTTATTTCTCTGCCTGCCAGTTCTTTCTAAAAGATCAGCCTTTTCAAAAGCATTTAATCTCTTCAGCTGCTAAGTCATAAGCGCTGTGGATCCCCGAGAGCTTCTGAATGCTTGGTACAGCTGGTAAGACCCTGGCTGAGCCTCTCTACTACCCTTGGCATTTTCCTCCCCACCGTTTCATAAACATTGTTTGCCTTTCAGCTCTCCTGGAAAGAACATTTTTTTCCAACTTTTTGAACATTCCTTTTCCAATATTGGTCACCTGGTTGTCTCAGAAGGCCTGCTAAGTTTCTGGGAGTAGACCTGGTTCTCAGGTTCCCAGCTGGTTCAGGATGGAATAGATGAAGAAAACCTACTATGAGATCCTGCTGCAAACTCGCCCACTTTGAAACACTTGTGCTTCCCGCTCTGCCACCGGCTGCTTGAAAGCCTGGGAATCCACCAGACATTAAATGCCCTCCTCACATAATTCTCCCAGATCAGATTTCCAAAGACTTAGTTACATCT